CCTACAAGTCACTTGATAGTCTGATACCATGGTTAGTTGATCATAGATATAATTCCTCTCATTGTTAGACCAAACTTGTGAACCTTGTTTAATCCATATATGTGTGGGTTTGTTGACCCAGACGACTTAACTGCGTCAAACACTGGTTTATATGGCCTTGATACCTTAGTATTTCGGATTATTCTTAATTTGTTTCTGTATGTATACCGTCTTCTATTTATTTTAGGCACACTGTAATTTCCCCCATCAGATAGTAGCTTGGACATCTTGATATACTACCACGTATTCATTAGAATAACTCCTAATCCTTTATCTGGTCTGCTTGTCATAATCTCTCTACATTGCTGAATGTTTTTAAGCGCCTCCAGATGTTTCCGTGGTAAGGAACCTCGGGTGTTGGGTGCGTGCTTGCGGTACTGGTAACAATGATCAACCGTTGTGGTTTTGAACCTCTCTAAGTCATCTGGGGACTTACATAATAAGTTATGTTTGTGAGTGGAGGTCTTAGAACTGGATTTCAACTTGCAACTGGCAGATTTTCCGACAAGGGTAACAGAACTTCCCATTGAGGGATAAGATTTCTTTGAGAATGGAACATACTTTCATATCAGAGTGGTTATGCACGTAGCGTTCCGAGTGGGATGAATAAGTTAACTCTGGGCTGCTCGATGTTACACTGCGTTGAAATTTTGCTAATTTCTTGCGGCATCTGATACTGATCCAGGCTGAACATAACTGTTAAATTCCTCACGTTCGTAAAAAGAGTAAGTCGTCCATATAAATCCGATCATTCCTTAAGGATTTCGAGTGGTACTTAGGGTAAACATTCTGTTTCACATAGCAATGAGTCAGATCACAATTTGCTTCATCAAGGCGTGCAGAGAAACTGAGGAACTTATTTAGTATCTTGACAACAATAGGTTTGATGCTATTTTATATTTCAGAATAAGCCGATTGTAACCATAGAACACCAATCCCAATGCTAACAGTTATTTTCGAATGACGCCTAACCCTGCCTGTACAGACCATATTAAGATTTGTTATTAGTGCGGACATGTTAGGGCAAAAGGACGAGGATGCACATGGAGCATAGGAAACGTCATTTTTGGTCATCTAGTGGATACAAACAGTGAAATTATACTAGAATCCGCATTTAACATAATCTATCGTGTGCCCCCAAGCCATCTAAGCCAGTACGC